GTTCAGAAGCCGAAACTACGGTTCCAGCAGCCGGAATTTTCGGCCTTTGAGCCCGGAACGGACGGTATGTCTATGTAGCCCGTAATTGCGGCTCCTACGGCCGGAGTTTTTTCAGTGTGTAACAAGGCAGCATAGTTTTCATCCCTAAACTTCAAATCCTTCTCTATCGCAAAATAAGGATGATGGTACTACATACAGCGCAACGGATGGAGCTCCGTAGTGCCTGCGCCTGCTCAGTGCACCCTACCCGCTCCAAAGATTAAAGACACGTTCGAGCCCATAATGAGCGACCAGAGCAGCAGAGCCGCATCAGCCACTAAGCTCCTGATTAAATCGGAGCACTTGTTACCCGCGGACGTGCGTCTATGCACCNGGGAGGTCATTGTTGCCGCACGCGGAGCAGAGGTTGATTGACTGTAATGGACTGATTTAGTGGCTACGTCATTCTAGCTATATTGGACTAATCGATTCATCGAGGTTCGATGGTTTCAATCACGAAGAAAATATATAGTGATGCAGTCGCTAATGCAGCTTTATTTAAAGTTATAATTATTATTATTTTATTATTTATTATTTTGCAGGTAAATTTATAATAATATACTTTATTTATCAAAACAATGCACTGGAATAAAAACACTTTGGATCTAGAATCTAGGCTCTTAAAAACATTGACAAGAAAAAATACTCTTGATTCAATCGGATTTTTGCTTGAATCAAAACGAAATCCGCTTAAATTAAGAGGCTTGGTTCTTGATTAAGCTAGATTCTGATTGAATCAAGAGGTTGATTGACTGTAATGGACTGATTTAGTGGCTAGGTCATTCTAGCTATATTAGACTAATCGATTCATCGATGTTCGATGGCTCCAATCTCGAAGTAAATATATAGTGATGCAGTCACTGATGCAGCTTTATTACTGAGTTAAATATTTAATAATTTACTTTATTTATCAAAACAATGCACTGGGGAAAAAAAACACAATGGATGTACAGTCCAGGCTCTTAAAAACATTGACAAGAAAAAATACTCATGATTCAATCGGATTTTTGCTTGAATCAAAACGAAATCCGCTTAAAATAAGAGGCTTGATTCTTGATTAAGCTAGATTCTGATTGAATCAAGAGTACTTTTTCTTGTCGATGTTTTTAAGAGTCTGGACTGTAGATCCAATGTGTTTTTTTTTCCCCCAGTGTGTACATTGCACATGATTGGTTAGAAATTGGGATTAATAAAAAACGACTACCTTAAAATTAAAGGTATCAATCTAACATAAGGAAAAATAATTAATACTCTAACGGGTTAGATAATAAATTGAGTAAATAGGTTGTAAGCACTACTAGTTAAGGAAACATTTTGGTAGTAAACCTAACTTTTGGTTAGAATAATGAGAAGATGGGAAAAACTAAAGAAAAGGAAAAAACCCCTGGCTGCTAGAAGATAGCAAGTTAAATGGATGTTTTTCTCTTTTTTTTTTTAGAAATAGTGTCGGAATGATTCAAATTTAAATTAATCTGCTAAAATACCTCTATAACGTCTTACGTCACAAGTGTTAATTTTTTTAGTTTTAAATCTATTTCAATCCAATTCACCGTATCAGAAAAAAATGTGAATAATACTGTGAGCTCAGTTCATCAAGTACTTTCATATGAGGCAATGAAATATCCTCTTACAAATTCTCGATTGCAATATGTGAAGAAGTCAGCTTGAAACAATTTAGCAACCTGTTTTTCAAGCTATACCCATCAACTTCAAAAGGAAATTACAGTAGCAATCACTGTTTTTTTTATTTTACAGGGTAACTTTAACAGTTAAACGAAAAACGAAGAATAGTCAACGCTGGATACTTAATTAGCACCACGTTTTGGGACGTCTAGGAATAATTTTTCTTCCAACCAATATTTGGCTCTTTGATCTAACAAGCTTTTTTAGTTTTGAATATTTTTATATGGATCTTAAGTTTGATTTTCCGACAATAAGTAAAGCTGCTTTCCTAAATTCTTAGGGCTCTCTGAAGGAAGTAAAAATACTTAAAATTAGTAACACTGTTCACTTTATGATTTAAAGTTTTTGTAAAAAAAAAAAATAAAAAAGTTAACTCGAATTTCTTGTCACAAACTTCCAATATTAAGATAATCCGTCACAGAGCTACCTCGCTGACATTATGTCTCTCCCTCTTCCAATTCCAGCACGTCGGTTGGTCTAATCTCCACTTTGAAGGCGCCTCTATGGCCTCATCTTTCCACATGGATTCCGTTTTGCGATAGAACTTACCTTAGTTTTATGGTTTAAAACAGTAACTCAGCGCACCCTCACTTTCAATAAGCTAATTTTATAGTAAGTAAAGTTTAATTTATCAGCTGTGATTTTTTAATGACTGTAAAATCATACAGGGTGTTTCAGACCACCCGTACCAGGCCTTTTTCTCGATTGGTTTAGGTCGTATGAAGTCGGAGACCGCGGGGTCGAATAGGGAATTGACCCCAAGGAATCCGAATTTCGTGGTCCCGAAACCACCCCCACCGCCCCTTGGGGGGTAAAGGGGGGGTCACGATGCTAAAATTCACGGTTCCCGACCGAATCGCGGCTGGATCGCATTAGAATTGAAAAGCACGGAAAATTTCACGTGAAATTGACCCCTAAAAATCCAAAATCGGACCATGCAAGGCCCAAAAATGATCCCCTAAAGAGGGGGACAGTACCCCCCTCCAGAATTTCTCTTTGGTCTCAAAATTGACGTAAATTCTCCAGAAAAAGACAGTTTCCCAGGTAATCGACCCCGAGAAATCCAAATTTCATGGTCCCGAAGCTCCTCTAGATCCCCTTGGGGGGTAAACGGGGGGGCCCAATTTTAAAAATCGGGGCTCCTTTCCGAATCGCAAATTGATTGCATCCAAATTGAGGAGCAGAACACATTTACATCTTAAGTGACTCCTAAGAGTTCTAATAGACCCCCTGAACGGCAGAAAGTAACTCCCAGAGGAGGGGGGCCTCGCCCCCGCCAAAAATTTCTCAGGATTCCTCTTTGGTCGCAAAATTGACGTCGATTCTCCAGAAAAAGACGGTTTCCTATGTAATCGACCCCGAGGAGCTCAGGGAACATGAAATTTAGAGTCCTATATAAGCTATTTTTACATGTTGAACCAATCGGGATACATACAACTCAACTACGAGCTGATTTTTGAAATTAATGGACAAAACGATAGACAAAGAAAACTTAGGGAGTATTGAGCGATTTTATTGGTTGAAACGGCAGGTTCTGAAACTGTAGGGTCTCTCATGGGTTGCTAATTAGTTAGTCTATTACCTACCTCCTACTTCCATTGCAACCACCCGCTTCCATCAATAGGATCCTTCCATACCCCTTTTGTCTTCTTTGTCTATAGCTGTATATCTATAAATTGGAAAATTCATGGCGCGTTTACCCTTAAGAGAAGATCCAACGGTCCTAGGAGATTCAAAAAGAATGGCTTTAAGAAGATTGTATTTCTTGGGAAGGAGGCTTTAAAAAATCCAGTATTGAAGTAAACGTATTGCGAATTTTTAACAGACTATGAAATAAAAAAGGACAAACAGAGGTAACTAGTCAACGGAAAACTATACAGCCTTGTCAAGTTTTTACAGCTTCGTCTATCAATTGGACGTATTTCTATCAAACGGACCTAAGCGCCATAGGGTGAGGAAGGTAGGGGGGGGGGGCTTGGATTGGCGGCGTAATCGGGCGTCTGCATGGCTTATTCCGTCCTATACTCGCAATGCTTTTCCATGGCGGTTAGGTCTGTTTGACAGAACGCGCTATCCGGCATTCCAAATTCCTCAAAAGGAACTCAAATTGGCGCTCAGCTCCGTTTGATAGAAATACAAATACGTCCAATTTCAACAATCAGCCCGCTGTTTCATGTATCGAATTCGATCTATACATAGCGGTGCGGTACCGGCGGCGGCGGAGGTGGATTGGAGGAAGGTCCGGACCTCTCTCCTACATATCGTCCGAGGTGAGTGAAGTCGCGATCGGGAGTATTGGGCCAGGCCGGAGAGCCTCGTCGAGAGCCAACCTGAATCTCTCCAGAGCCTTGGCGGGGGATAGGCTGAATCTCCCCTGATCCGTGGCGGGAGGCAGCCTGAATCTCCCCGGAGCCTCGACCGGAGGCAGGCTGAGTCCCTCCCGGCTGAGCGGCTTGCTGAACATTGGGGTTAGCTCTGGCGCCAGCTCTAGCGCCAGCTCCAGCGCCAGCTCCAGCGCCAGCTCCAGCGCCAGCTCCAGCGCCAGCTCCAGCGCCAGCTCCAGCGCCAGCTCCAGCGCCAGCTCCAGCGCCAGCTCCAGCGCCACCTCCAGCGCCACCTCCAGCGCCAGCTCCCCGTCCGCGATTCCGCATCCACGGACGGGGGTCGTTCTTCGAGAAAGCGTAATCCGTCTGCCGGGCCCTTTCCGACAGACTGGAGAGTGATCGGTGGAAGTCTTCTACCTCCCTCAGGTTCCTGTGATATCGTTCTCTCTGCGCGAGAGCCTCCTTGGCGCATTTGAAGAGCGAGAGGCTCGTGCTCTGCGGGAAACACCCGAGCAAAGTCTTGGTGAGTATGACGGAGTATTTGAGGTCGCCGTCGATGAGCCTGCAGTCGGAGGCTGTGGCCGTCTTGCAGTTCCTCTTGAAGTCGTCGCCGAGGGCCATGAAGGCGTTGACGGCTGTGGCGCAGGCGTGCAAGGCCTGGGCTTTGTTCGGGGAGATGGACTCGCTTGAGCGGGAGCTGCGGGCGCGGGTTGTGCTGCGGCTGGTTCCTGCCGCCTGGGCCTCCTCTTCTTCCTCCTTGAGCCTTTGCTTCTGCAGCTGGAACTGATAGCAAGGGTCGTCGTCGATCACCCTCATCACCCGGTCGATGTTCTCGTCTTCGGTGGCCGCTGCCGGCTCCCCACTTCGCGAACCGAAACTCAGACTCGACATCAGCTGGCAACAGAAGAACGGAGTTTCACTCCGACATATGAAGGCTTCTACCAAGAAATGTTGAAGGATTGCGCAAAGTAAATAATGCATGACAGATATTTCATGTCTGAAATTGGATCAATTTTTCCGTCGTAAGAAGGGCTTAAAATTGCTCACAGTAAGACTTAATTTTTCAACCGGAGGAGGTCCCCCTCTAATGCTAAAATAATTCCCCGAACCTTCCTTTGCAGCGAAAAGGGTCCTTCAGATCCCCCTTGATGAGGCAGATACCCTTCTTCCCCCCCCCCTGCCAGAGAATTGCTAGTTCCGCCCATGGAGACTGCCCATCCGGTGTATAAAAAATCATATACCGAGTTGCTGTTTCTTGCGCAAAATTCTAAAGTCTGTAAATTATTCTTTAGGCGTGTAATTAACTTTCATACCTTGAAAATGCATACTATGTGTGGCTTCCATAATCTGAGGGCTATTTTAATATGTTAACTACCCGAGAACAAAATGACCGTGGGGGCTGGGACGGTGGGGAAGTCGTAGCTTTAAATGAGACGTTCGTATTTTGGGAAACGTGAAATGCCTTCAATTTGGAGAGTATGCAATTCGCAAGCAGGCCTCTTGTGCCCGCCAGCACCCCGGACCCCTCAGCGCTAATCAGGACCAGCGAGTTGATGACGTTACTACTCTTCAGTCTCAAAAAATTTTAGACTGTTTTATGCCGAGCAGGTCAATTTATGCATGTTTTTAGCCTGTAATGTCCGCAACTAAGGTAATCCCCTGCTTTTTTGTCGGACTCAGGTATTCTCATCACCAGCCATCACAAAAATATTCCGTCCATGAAAAATTTCGAGGTAACATTGAAATAAAACCAGAAATATTAAAAGAAACGAAAATGAAAATTCTCAGTTCAGATCTCAGAATTTTGTTTTCTTTTAAATGCGATCTGGGCGAATGTTCATCATTTTTACTATAAAAATATCCCTATTAGCTCCAGGCGATTCTGAGAAAAGAACTTTTTTCGACTCACCCTATTTTAGAGACAGCTTCTTTAAAAAAATGAAAAACTTACAAATTAAAAACGTCGGAATAACTTGAAGAGAAGCTGTTGGAAAGGCGAGATAGAAACACAAGTTGGTTAAAATTTAATGTTATTTTCGTCGAAGGCCTTTTTTGCATGAATTATCAGGCTGCTTTGCCTTTTTTCATAATATATTAAAGCTTTCTTATTTTTTATGTTTACCCTACTTCCCATTCTTGCAAGTTTACAGGAAAATGAAAGTCAAACATAGGGCCATTTGCAAAAAATGAAGATATCTATTTTTATTAATTCATAATCATTCATCAACTTGAATCTCCATATCTATGCAATAGATTCGACTTAAAATGTCCGGTTTACACTTTCACATTTATTGAAAGATTGATTTCAGTTAAGTGGACTGAGTTTGACATATAAAAATATACCTGAAGAATATCCTGAAGAATATCATGTTTGAAAGGAAATACCTATTATAATAATAATAATAATAATAATAATAATAATAATTAAATTTTAAAAAAATTGAAAAAAAAAAAAAACAACTCTCTTCCCTCCTTTGTACTTTTTGAGCAGTTTTTTAAGGGTTAGTCAAAGTTATGAGTCTAGAAAGTTGTGTGTTTTTTTTTAATACTCAATTCTGCTGGAGACGTATGAACTCACCGAAGATGAGCGGGAGACGTTCCTTGAACTCGGATTTGAAGATGATTGCATGGCCCATGAGTTATATAAAACTAGAGAGAGTGCAGCTAAAGTCCACTTTAAATAAGCCATTTTGACTGATTCTTACAGCGTGGAAGGGTAAACTTCAGTCGTCGCGACTGTATAAAAAGCGAGGACACTTGTCATGAAATCGCCTTTTTTCACCTCCAGAACCCCTGTTTTCGTTCTGAAAGTACTGAGCAGTATCTGTCTCGAAAAACACACAGTTCCCCTTATATAGCCTACGTTGGTATACAGTTGATAAAGAATGGCAAATTCCCGCCATCATCATCGTGCGGAGAAGTTCGCGTCTTGCCTTAAATCTCTTAACGCGACGTACAATTGAATACTTTCACCGACATGTGAGGGCTCAGAATATGAGAGACGACAATGAATTTTGCTATCAGAAATCCGGTGACTGTTGAATACATTTTAAAATCCAGACGTCGGAATATTTTCCTCAACCAACAACTTGCACTTACTTCTTAAGCCTTAGTTTCTTATGAGCATTTGAAAACTTGACTTAAAGCTAGAGAAAAATCAAGCATTTTGGTATTTTTTTCCAGGGTTGGGACGTTGTGCATTGGCGTATGACAATAAGGATGGTGAAATAGGGAGCAAGAGAGGGGTCCTTTCACTTAAAGACTGTTCAAGTGTTACGTGAGCTATTTTGGCCGACTTTTTGACCCCCCCCCCCCTCTTTGTGAGACACCTGTGTGACAGTAAACTTTTCATCCCCTATTTTAAATGACGTACCTTTTTCTTTCGTTCATTTCCTCTCCCCTTCTCCTTATTTTACCTTTTCCTTTTGCATTCTCTCTTGCTTGTATTTGTAGTAGCCGTCGCCATCAGCAGGTCTCAGTAAGACGAAGCTGAGGCGAGGCACACTTGACCCCAAATTGGGTATCCTCAGCCGACTGATTCTCCTAAACTTCCTCCACATGACACACTGGGAAAAAAACACATTGGATCTAGAGTCCAGACTCTTGAAAACATTGACAAGAAAAAGGAATCTTGATTCAATCAGATTTAAGCTTAAATCAAAAGGAAATCCGCTTCTATTAAGAGGCTTGGTTCTTGATTTAGGCTTAAATCTGATTGAATCAAGAGTATTTTTTCTTGTCGATGTTTTTAAGAGTCTGGACTCTAGATCCAATGTGTTTTTTTTTTCAGTGCAAGAAAAAAAGAAAAACTCCGAGACTAGGGGAACGCCCGGAGGAAGGACTGCTACCGGGGGTTGTACGAGTAGGTACATGAAATGAGGAAATGTCAACCCTCTAAGGAGCTTTCGGAAAATCGGGGACTGAGTCGGTCGAGCGTTGCAGAGCGCCGGGGTGCCGTAAAAATAGGCTCTTACGTGTGTGGACAAATCTGATAATGAACGAATTTCTTTGACGATTTAGTCGCTGAAAAGACGAGGATCGCTTTTTTTACCTAGAACACGAGTCAAAACCGAACGGAAATATAAGTAAAAAAAAAAAGAAGCAAAAACCTTTCCTTCACTGTCTAGACTTCTGACATGCATACGATTCATGTCACGTAAAAAAAAAGTACGAGCGCAGTTTTTTTTATTCAAAGCTCTGTTTTTTCACACTTGTCGCGCTGTTGTTTTTTGTATTCTGTGATTACGTTTGCCCTGAGTCACTAAAATTTCAAAACTTGATTTCTACGCTCTCTGTGAAGTTTTGCCTCAAATTTTTTTTTCAAAGTTAAGGCCGAATTAAGTGCCACTTATCACCACTGCTTTATTAGAAATCTTGCAAATTTAAATTCAGTCTATTTTTTGAAGCAGAAATTAGCCTGAAGACAGCATGATGATCATTTGAATGGATCATTGAACGAATTTAACCGGATATTGCTGACACGCGTCAGAATTCATGTGAATATATGAACGTATTTAAATTTTTATTTCCGTTGTAACATAAGTCCTGAGCCCCTTAAAAATATACATCCATGCATGCATGACCATGGTGATGCCATTCCAACATGATTCTATTCAACGATTCCTTTTGATTGCTCGCTTGTATACATGACGCATTTTCCAAAAATATGGGCGGGGGGTCGGTAACAAAAGTGACATCCTTGAAAGTTTTTCAATCCGAATGTCAAAATTTCCGGTATTCGAGAGAGGACTTTGGAAAGTTCATCGCGTGAAAAGTTCTTGAGCTGGGGGATTCGTTTCAGAGAAGAATAGTGTCACCATCGTGTTTCTTGCAAAATTTTATAGCTTAAAATGTACTTAGATTGCAAATTTCTGGAGCAAGCAAAAGCTCTATCCAAAAGTTATAGAATCCTTTTTGGTTTTTCGAGTCATCATCTTTAAATTGCCTTGGATTTAGATTTTTTAGTACCTCGTATTGTAAATTATTTAAGTTTCATTTATTTTCGATGCCTCGAGCGCGTGATTATTATTTTACCATGGGTAAATTGTATTATACACCCGATTAATATCGGCTTTGCTAGTGAAGAGTCGATTTCATTAAAATGCCTGGATCAGTCTGATGTCCATCGCGTAGAATCCACTTACTGCTATTTTGAGTAAAACGATACTCTTTTGAGCCTTTTCTGCCGACATTTAGGCATACAATTTCTGTGGATAATGCAACGAAATAAGCATTCAGAAGACAGCACATACGGCTGCCTTGCTTGACATGAAAGCAATAAGTCCCGTTTTTTATAGTCAACGGTGAGTTCGATTAATAATTCGTAAGCCTATTAAAAAAACTATGATTGACATCATCGTTTTTTCCAATAATGGTTCCTTATTGCGAAATGTTGTCCATTTGTAAAACAAAACCTAATTTTACCAGAAGTAAGAATGCCCAATGCTTAAAACATATTCAAAAATTTCCTAGAAATGTGTGCCTAAAGGATTAAAATGGTACGTCTATGTAAAAAAGAATCTTGTCTTTTGGTGTGACATATCGATGGTAAAACTACCAAACCACGTATCTCGGTTTGCGACGTTGCAGACTTCTTGCCCCACTCGATTTTTTAAATGGAAAACTACTCAAAGTTCACTCTTAAAAACCTTCGTGATTTTTCTCCTCTGAGCAAAGCCAATTTTAAAAAAATTTCAAGGCGCGATGTTGAGTATTTCTCCTTTAAAAATATAAAACTGAAGCGGCAATTTTTAAACACCGCAAACGAGATACGTGGTTAGGGAATTTCACCGTCGATATAGTACTTTAACATTGAATTAGCGGTTTTTCCGACGAGGCGGCGCGCGCCACGCGCCACGTTTTCCTGTCGTCGCAATCTGTTAGGCGCACTCAAGGCGGCCGGGGCGGCGCGCGGCGGAGCTTAAATCCCGAAAGCGACACTTGGGTAGGGCAACAGTTTTTTGATCCGGCTGGAACACGCCGGTTTATTTTTATTTTGAGGTGACAATTTTTCTCGCCCGACGAGCCGCCCCGCGCCTCGCGACACAGCTGAGAGCGCGCAGTCGGCGCCGAAAATAGCCCCAGAATTTCCTCCGTTCCCGCGTGTCTAGGACCTCGCTCACAAGAGTCTTCCATGTCCTCGTCGAACGCTCTCCCGAACGCTGCAACAGCCACCGTTGTCGAAACCACCCCAGTGGCCCCGCGGTTGCCTTCCTCCCGGCTATTGGTGGGAAAAAGCGAATGAACAAAGGAACAGTCTTTGCCACTGAGACAATTTCCTCTTGAATGGATCGTATTTAATACATCAAACAGGTGAGATCTTATCGATCGCGATACTTAACTTAGCCACGAAAGTCAATTGAGCAATCTGAAGGAACACATTTCTTGTGACGGGTGTTTAATTCTTATGAGTATACAGTGGCAATGAATCGAGCAGTTGTTAGGAATACGAGAATTAGGAGAAATACGAGAATTGGATATAAATCGAAAATATGTACTAAAGAGGATAGTTGATTACGTTACACTGCTTTTGTAAAGAATTCATGTCAACGCTTTCCCCTTCATCTGGAGAGGTAGGCAAAAGAGGCCCATCGAGTAGCATTAGTGGTATCCACTTGAATGAAGGGGAGTTATCACTGTCACCATGGCATGACATCCGCTGGGAGTGTAAAATGCTGATACTATTGCCATTGCAAGAATCCATCATTGCCTATTCTTGCAAATCTGTTCGCCACCGGTACAGATTTGATAACTTCAGCATTGTCATTAATTATTCCTTAAGTTTCGACTTTTCTTATCACTGGCAACCTCTTAACCGGTCAGGTGACATGTGCATGTGTATGGAGGAACTAGCGGCAATGCTCAATAATCCCCCGTGATTTTGCCAAATAAATTGCTTTTTCCCACGATTTGAAGCACTGAATTGATTTATGGCCTCAAAAGAATCGAAACCTCAAACTGAAGGAACATTTCAGAGGGTCTAAGAGGGAATCAAATTGTTCAAAATAGAAAATCCGCCACCCCTTGACATCTCCCTTTATTTTGAGATTCCGGTATTTTTGAGTCCGCGGATGAATTCAGCTCTGAAAATTTAAAACAGAGAAAATGGTGGCTCTATAATGATCTTTAATATTCAAAGAAAAACGACGATTTCCCCATAAAAATTCGGGGGAGCTGCAGCTCGGACTGCGCGGATTTTTTCAAATAACTTTACTAAGGGAACGATACGCTTATTTTTACCCATAAAAAACGCTCCCACGTTGAGGAGGTTCAACCCTACGAAATCTTGTATATTGAAGATTAAGCTTGGCGCCAATTGTGTTTGACACTGCAAAGTGCATTGCACGGATTCCAAGTTCGTCGTCTGTTGACGCGTTGACTCAAAGGCATATCACCCTCTAGCCTCAAGCTCTGCCGTACGAAAAAAGAACACCGTATGAGCCTTCACATGTTACCAATTTTTCTTCAATAAAAAACAAATTTAATGGGAAAATTTTGAATATTTTTCTTCAAATTTTTTAGACAATTTTGTTCAAAATTTGATTAACAATATCTAAAAATTTCAAGAAAAAACATGCAAGAAAAATACATGGTTTACCATGGGAAATTCGGCAACTATTATGTATTAACATTCGAGAGTTGCCGGATTTCCCTAGGAAAACATGTATTTTTGAGGAATGTTATGCATATTTTTTCTTGAAATCCGCAGATACTTTAGATAAAATTGCAAACCGAATTGTCCAAAAAATTGGAAGAAAAAGATTGACAACTTCACCCAGTATATTCATGTTTTATCGAAGGAAATTTGGCAACTCTTGAGGGTTCGTACGGCGTTTTTCCTCAGCGCTAGAGAGGCAGAGCGCGCGGCAACACGGGTGAACACGCAGAAAATAGCCAAAGCGCGTTGTAGTGCGCGTACGGGGGGTTCGGGTTATCTTGGCGCGGGGGGGCGGCTCCATTGAAGCGGAGGGTCGGACATGCGTGGCGTCTGGGGCGTCGCGACGCGGTTTCGGCGGCCGGCGCGGCGGTGATCGTCAGTTCACGATGCCCGGGTGCGGTGCTCTCCACGCTCTCGGCTTGGCCCTCGCGGCTGTGGTCCTGTTGACTAGGTCACGCGTCGCGCGCGCCTACCCCTTCGAGCAGTTCTACCCCCACGGAGGCAACCTCGATGCCGCCCTCCCCACCGACCGCTGGGGGGTCTCCAGCCCGGAGATACCTCTCACCGTCCCCGTCCGCTTCTACGGGGAGAACTTCACGTCCATCTTCGTAAGTCACAATCAGTTCTTTCGCTCACTGGAAAAAGTATGGCAACATCTACTATAAGTCTACTTGATTTCTTTACACAGTAATACTATTTTGAGACGATAACCAGAATTATGGTAGTATTCAGAAAAAAAGTCGCTTGGATCCAGAGTCGTTGTGGAAAGTCCAGACTGTTGAAAACAACGACAAGAAAAAATACTCTGGATTCAATTGGATTTTTGCTTGAATCAAAAAAAATCCGCTGGAATTAAGAAGCATGGTTCTCGAATTAAGCGAAAATCCGATTGAATCAAGAGAATTTTTTCTCTCCAATGTTTTTAAGAGTCTGGATTCTAGATCCAAGCTACTTTTTTTTCCAGTGTACAATAAGACGGTAAATGCTACCATTGGATCCGTTGTTGATCAGCATATTCGTGCCACTGTGTCAGGTATGGTAAAATGTACCATATTTTTTCAGTGCTTTTCATCCAGTTACCGTCTTATCGTCTTACCTCTCGAAGCAGTTAAGTCCAAAACTAAAGTTTCGAGGAAAAGCATTTAAAAAATCCTTAGCCGTAAAACGAGTGTTTGAAAAAGCATAAAATCTTCATGAGTCACAGCAAGTTTTCCGCTTTTTGTTCACCTGCCATGTTATCGAAGGAGGTTCGGAGAAAAATATTCTTAACCGTAACATGAGGCAATCCAGAAAGTTTAGCTCCAGATCCGCGTAAGTCTCACTTTTCGTTCACCTGCCGTGTTATCCAAGAGATCAGTAAGTCTGAAAATGAAATTTTGCGAGTAAACTTCACGAAAATCCTGAGCCAATAATTAGAAGTTAACAAGTTTATCATGAGATTCTCGACATTCACGACTAGTTTCTCGCTATCCATTAATTTGAAGTTCTTATAATAAAATCAGAGAAGAGGAAAGAAGGTAGGGGCATATTGAACTAGCCTTCCATTTTTTGTCATTGCTAATTATCTCTCTAAAGAATCTCAGAAACCGTTCGAGTCATTAAAAATCCACGAATTTTACCTTTATTGTTAAGAGAGGGCCTACTTTGCCCGGCAAGATGGCTGTATTTTTTATCTTCTTTGTGTTTGCATTCAAACTTATAACCCAGGGCGGTCTAGCCAGGGGTGCTAGGGTGCTTCAGCACCCCGGAAATTCTGACGATTGGCCCCGGAAAGTTTTTTGTAGGGGCCCCCAAAACGTATCAGCACCACAAGAATTGCCGAGCCGACCTTTCATAACAAACAATTATATTAGAGCTAGAAGTCGACAAAGAAAGAGGCTGATTTGTGGAAACCAGCATAGTGAATATCCATTCTGCCGCGCGGTAATGTGGGATTACTACTGTTTTCCAGAAATGACGACAATTTTTGAGCACTGAAACTGCGCTCTTAATCCATGTTGTTATACTTAAATTGGATGGAATTGGTTATTCCAGCGGAATCAGTCAGTTTCCTTTAAGCAGACTAGTGAAATGTTTGAGAAAATTCAAATTCGAAACGTTTACTGCTTTTGCTTTGTTCAGCACTTACTGGCAGTATCGGCAAGTTCATAAATTGAAAAAGCATTTTAGGAGGAGAGAATATCCATCTGGGTCACACCGTGGGTGCCGTGTATAACGAAAAAGAGGGGAATGAGCCAAATGTCACGTGTCGTTTTTATTGTCCAAATGACATTTCATCCAAATTTCAGGGGGTGTAAAAATCTGCGAACTTTAAGGAGGGGGCAAAATTTCCCTGGCAAATATGAGAGGCCAAAATTTCAAAGAATTGACCAAAATGTTTTGAAAGTAATGTCTCAAAATGGAACGGGGTAATGCCTAATGTGAATTCCTGAAAATAATTCCTTTCCTGAATGGAATTTTTTACACACTGCTACAGAAATTAAAGGAATGAAAATCGATTCCCCCTGAAAAACGAAGCTTTTTTTCTTTTTAAAGATACTTAAATTATGCTAAAGTTAGAAATCTACCACACATACCCATTATGAATTCTTGGAAAATTGCGAGTTTTCCTGCTATTTTCTCACGTGCTGCTCCGCAATTTTTTTGCAAGGGAACGATGCCGATAATGGCTAAGTTTACTTCTCGAGCTGCATTGAAAAATGCATTGGAAAGTAATCTAGGAACACTGAACCTTCAACGTGGAACATCGGCTTATGACGTAAAATTAATACACTCCGACTAATTAAAATGTATGAATATCCTGTTAAACAAATATTTTGGATTTTCGTAAAACTAAGAATGTTAATTTTACTGGTGACTCGGTGTTTTCAAAAGCAAACCTCAAAGTATTGACATTTTGAGAACTTAATAAGGTCGTTTATCATTTCACTTATCACATTGATGCTGCATTTTATCACTAAGATACAGGATGGTTTCCTATACACTTTTAGCTGATAAGCACGGATTTTGGAGCGCTTATTTCGGGGAACTTTCGAATGAACTGTGGGTTCTGTACGAAAAAATAGAATTTTACAATTCACGTAGTTTGATAAGAAGATAGAATCTTATAGCACTCTGGGACAATCATTTCTCTGATTTATCGTAATATGCTGGAAGAGTTTTACAAAAATTATAACAAAGGTTGGAATACATCCAGATTCGACTTTCTTATTAAAAGAGGCTTGTGTTCGTCAGGAAATCCTGCCAACACCATGCCATACCGAATTTCGCCAGTATGCAACATGGCCAAAATTTGACTGTCGCCTCCTTCATTTACCTTTCCGTCAGTTTGTGTCGATTGCACTAACTGAGTTTCAGTACAGGATCTAACAATACTGACCGACAAAGAAAAATTGTTATCATCTGTGAGATGAATTCTATAATAAGTGCCTGGTTACGTCACTGGAGAGTGTGAAAGGCTTGCAACTAGATCAAGAATGCTACGTATGACGCGCGAATAAACACAGTGGAGCTGTGACCTATGACCTGCAACTTGTAACTTGATAATTTGAATGTGCAGGGAGATTCGAGTGCTGGTAGTTCCTTAATTAGGCTCTCGATCTGTCAAATAATCAATAAATCCATTTTAGCCAGTATGCATGTGTCCGCACGATTTACAACATTGCAAGTTTGCATAATTGCGGAGCGAAATCTCTTCCCACCGCCTCTTAACAGCTCCTTATGTACTTACAAGACGAATTTGACCAGAACTCTGCCGTGCTAAGGAAAAACGCCGAATGAACATTCGAGAGTTGCCAAATTTCCTTCAATAAAATGTTCATTTTTTAGGAAAGTTACGAATATTTTTCCTTGAAATTTTCAGAAACTTAAGGTGAAATTGTAAGCAAAAGTATCTGAAAAATTGGAAAGAAAATATTCATAATTTTACCAGGAAATTCGTGTTTAATGAAAGAAAATTTGGCAACACCTGAAGGTTTATACGGCGTTTTTCCTTAGCATGGTATAATTAGCGTAACTGCATTTTACGTTGCTTAATTTCCTCTCGAGTTTTACCTTTTTAACAGAGAACTAAACTAATGAACACATTGAAATTTTCAGCGAATTTACCCTCAATTATTAAGAATATACTCACAAAATTTCAAATTTTATTCTTGCTCAGTTCTGTTCTTAAAGATATAAAACAGCACAGATAATTAATTAGACTGAATGCCTTGTTTTTCATCGAAAGTAGACAACTTCTTACTAGAGTAGGATTCGGGCGTAAAAATTCCTGAAAATCCCACCGAATTAACGCAGCCTTGCAAACTTCTAGTCGCTCATGCTGCGTGAAGTTTCAGTTTTATTCTTAGGTATTTTTATGCGTTAAGTTCGATAAAAGTATGACCAAAACCTTATTTTGACAAAAGTTATCATAAATATGTGTCATTTTCAATATTTTCTTGCGAATTTAAACGTTTTATACGGAAATCACTTTCTCATACAGGCATATCTCTACATAAGTTGAATCGTCCATATTTTGTAAAAGCCAAGGAAGTTGATTGAAGCCTAAAGAGTGAGCCTAAAGGTGGTAAATATACCTATGTCGTAAGCCAAAATTCAAAAAAGGCATCTTGTCATATTCCTTGGTAAAAAGCGGTTTTTTCCTCGGTTGAAATTTACCTAAAAAGCAAGGTAATCATCATGTAGGTCAGCATTTTCTGTAAAAGTATAAATATAGTTTTAAAATTATTTTTTGGTTTCAAGCCCTCGAAATTAAGTGGGATTTTAAGGAAATCTTGAGGAATATCGTAGTTCACGATGAGCTCAAGTTTGAAATAAAGAAAAAGAGAGAGAGCATAGTCAAAAACATGCAACATTTTGTAAAATTTTGAGATTGGATCAACTAGCAAGGCAAAGGACAAAAATTTTGATTGTAATGTATGCCCAGGACCGAGAATTGAGATGAAGGAAAACTGAACACGATGAAAGGTTGAGACAGTGAGTTAGGAAAACCGGGGAAGAATGTAAGCTCATCAAGCTAATCCAGCCGTTTCGAAAGAAAGAATGAGAATTTCGAAGTTTCTCGTTGAGATACTTAGGAGCATGAGGGGTGCCACCAAGCGATCACCCCCGTTCCATTTTACCCAAAAAAAAGATAAAAATACTTAAGTTCATTGATCTTCTTTCGCGTCTTGTAGGGTTCTTGTTCCTCGTCCTACAAATAACCTCATGAGCCGCTTCACACTTCGGTAGACTCGAGGAAGATTATCGAGATGAAGAATTGAAATGTGGATTCCCTGGAAGCATTTTGTCTTCAGCCTCTACTAGAAACTATTCCTGGCCGATTTTTACAATCCGCGAATAAAGAACTAGATTGCCCGGAAAATTTCTCATTTGAATCACATGAAGCTATATTTTTTTAATATATTCGTTCATTATTTTTTTATTTTATCTTTTTACTGAAGTGCATTTACGATTGTCGATTAGTATAAGAAAACGGTTTGACATTCGAAAAATCCATTCTGAAACCACTCGCTCATAGACCCATCACCCACGGTATGAATCACCCAGACCTTTCCATCAACAACCCTTGATCCTCAGCATTTAGACCCGCGTGCATTTTTGCGCA